TAGGAGGATCTTTTCTGTTCCAGCTGCTCCATGGACATAATTCCCCCCACCCCACTTTATACCCATTCAGCCTTTTATACCCGTTGCCTGAAGGTCAGATGTAGAACCCCAGGGGCAGAGGGGAATTTTGCCTTCCATTCTCCCTTCCCTCCCCCAAGGAGGTCATTAAGAGCTAAAGGAGAACTGTGTCCTGGGAATAACCTTGGACTCTGAAAATCCTGGGTCAAGTAGTTTAAGAAGGGTGACTACTGATTTCTCTGGAAATCCTTTACCCTCAAGACTTAGGAGATGGGCTGAGTGAAATGCGTGTCTGCTAGTGAATGGAGCCTAGAGCTACAAGCTTCAAGCTTGGCCACTGGCCGGGGGATGGGTTGTTGCTAAAATGTTAAGGGAAACAGTTTAACATCAGTAAGGAGTTCACTTCCACACAGAGGAACATGTATAGACAAAAGATCTAAAGTAAACTGAGGCATTTATAGCTGCATGTGAGATTATAGTTGATAGCTTCCTTCTTTGTGTTTTGTACTTCCCAACCCACAAAGAGCATTATGTAGGGAAACAATGTAGGGGTAGGAATTGTGCTTTTTCATTTCATTCTTGCGGTTAATGTCTTCTGCAGTGGACACCTGGCCTGGCACGTGGGTTGTGACTTACTATGGAGACAATCTGGGGTCTCCTCTAGTGCTCCTGGGGCAACAGAAACAGTGGTGTCTTGGAGACCTGGAAATGGTCCCAAGATAATTCCCCGAAATGAAGTCCTTAGCTAGGGAGTCCTATGGACTTGTCATGATAATGAAGTTACGCTGCCAGCTTGCTAATTGCAATGGTAGAATCATAAAGTGTTAGACCTAGAAGGATCTTGAAGAATCATCTACTATGTGTTCTCATTTTTGTGGCAAAACCAGGATGAGAGTTTGATAGTAATGTTATCTTTTAGTAAGCATCCACTATGTGCCAGGAATGGTACTGGGGACTTTATGCGGATTAATCTTTAGTCATACTACTAAGGTAGGTATGTAATACCCCTATCTTGATTTTTATAGAGGAAGTTGAGGAATAGAGATTTAGAAGTTTTCTATGTCTCAACTTCCTCATCTATGAAGTAGCTTGTTTCAAATTATCCAACCAGAGTCCAAGGCAGGCTACCTGTTTGGCTCCAAAATGGGCTCTTGTACATAGTTCTGCCTTATTTTCAGCATGGGTTACCTGATTCCCAGTCTTAGAACTTTATCTCTCCTAGCCACTTAATTATTTTAAATTATTATTAATTATTTTAAATAATACAAGTCTGTTTTTAACCTGTGTTAGCCGAACAGATCAATCCCCAGATTATAGTCCTCTTGTTGGGGTAGTCTGGTGCCATGAAGAAGCCCACTTCCAAATTTATAGGCAAATGCAATATGAGAACAGGCCTTCAGCCTGAGCTCAGATACACTTTCACTTGCTCACCCACTGCCTTTCGTTTGTGAGTGTTCCCATGTATAGGCTGTGGGAATGCCCAGCCAGAGTGAGGGTGTGGTGACCAGGAGATTTTCACCAGAGCCGGAGCTGTAGGAGGGGAGCTGGGAAGAAAGCCTCAAGGCTGTCGCACCCTAAGGCCTCTGTTGGCGGTAGTTCAGGCTGTCTCCTCCTGACCCTTCTGCCTTCCCACTGTTGGAAGGTTGGGCTGACGTGGTCTTTGGTGAAGAGAGAACTGAGGGTTTTCTGAGGTGAAGGTTGAGGGGAGGTAGGGCAGCGAGGTATTTTCTCTGTCAGAGGAAAGTAAAGACTTAAATCATGAAGTGAATCAATGTGGAGTAAGTTCTCCATGTTTCAGCCATGCCAGAGGCATTCTGGTTAATCACATATTCTGAACTAGGGTGATGGTGTGTGCTATGCGTGGCTGAAAACCTTTCCAGGGATTATAACACAATAAAGTATGGGTAAAACCCAAACTACACTAAATATAATTAAAACTTTCTTTGATGATTCATAAGTCCTTTAGGATCCTGTAGTGCCTCAGGGTCACCATTATGTATATATCATCATCCTTGATGAGGCAGGCAGCTGAATAAAAATATAAGATTTTACGTTATAGGCCTCATTCTCACTCTGCCTATCTGGGTGGTCTTGGGCAGTTCTTGACCTCTTGAGCTTCAGAATCCTGTCCAAAATAGGGGTGGCAACATCACATCATAGGGCTGTCGTAGTAGAAAACTATGTGCATGTTGTAATTATTATCATTACTGGTAAGCTACCAGGATATCAAAATGCTGGCTGATAGACAATTCTATTATATGCTTTTGTTTTTGTTATCCAACACGATTCAGAGTAATTTAGTCTCCTTTTAAGGAAAACATGGTTTTCCCAGAAGCAGGTATTTCTAAGAAATGATTATTTAGTCAAAGGCTAGCAGGTGCATTTAAACTGTGTTTTTAGATGGCAAAAGTGGTACATGTTTTTGTGAAAAAATTAGAATATTACAGAAGAACATATTAAAAAATAAAAGTCCACTCTGTCTTCATTGTCTCAATCTTCCCTAGAAGGAAACTTAATGTAGTTTAGTATATATATACTTGTGTGTGTATATTAGATGTAAATTATACTATTTGTTATTGTCCTTATGTCCCTATGACTATGCTTTTTTTCCCCCCACTTAACAGCATATCTTGGGGATCTTTTCATTGTTTTCATTACAGCTACATCTGCATGATCTTTCATAATATGGATGCTTCATCTTGTTTAACCATTGCTCTGTTGATAAACGTTAGTTATTTCTAGTTTCTTTTTCTTAAAAAAATTTTTTTTAATGTTTATTCATTTTTGAGAGATGGAGAGAGACAGAACATGAGTGGGGGAGGGGCAGAGAGATAGAGGGAGACACAGAATCCGAAGCAGGCTCCGGGCTCTGAGCTGTCAGCACAGAAGCTGATGTGGGGCTTGAACTCAGGAGCCATGAGATCATGACGTGGGCCGAAGTTGGACACTTAACCGACTGAGTCACCCAGGCGCCCCTATAAATATTTTTTTCTTAATCCATGGCTTATCTTTTCATTTCATTTCTTAAGTGCTGATTTTTGAAGAACACGAGTATTTAATTTTGATGAGTCTAAGTTTTTAAATTTTTTCTATTATGGATGATGCCTTGGGTATCATATCTAAGAAATCTTTGCTCACCTCAAACTCACAAAGATTTTCTCTTACATTTTCTTCTAGAAGTTTTATAAAAACAAGGTGATTTTATAAGTTATTTCAAAGACTAGATGAAACTAATGTTTTCTATCGGCTCTTTCTTGACTGAAATTAATGGGTCCATGGAGTTTAACCTACAGAGCAGGTCTTTGCTACTTTTTCACAGTTTTTACAATTTGGCTACATTGTGTATCTACAGAATCAACTACTGTGGCCTTTATTACTGACTCCTTAAAATGTTTTCCCAAGAGAAAATGTAAGATCATATTCATTTAGCAGGATCAGGATAGGTTTCCTTTGAGGAAATTGTATTTATTTCCTATACCATGAATAGAATATTCTCTCTGTTGCATCATTTAACAAATGTAGGGCAATATCTTTCAGTACCAAAGCAGTAAAGTCATTTCCTATTACTAGTTGTTTTGATATGGCATATTTCCACTTGCTTCTCTTTATTCCTTGGAACTCATTTTATTTCTCTGGGTAATGAAGCTATTATCTGTTAGCTCTTAACAAGGTTCTCTGTGTGTGTGTGTGTGTGTGTGTGTGTGTGTGTGTGCATGTGCATGTTCAAGCACTATATTGCTCTTGATTATTAGGAAAACTTCAATCTCATTTCTTTCAAAGCTTCGTTGATCAGAGCACATATAGTTCTTCATCCCTTATTGGAAACTCTTAGAGCCAGATATATTTAAAAATTAAAAAAAAATTTTTTTAACATTTATTTTTGAGACAGAGAGAGACAGAGCATGAATGGGGGAGGGTCAGAGAGAGAGGGAGACACAGAATCTGAAACAGGCTCCAGGCTCTGAGCGGTCAGCACAGAGCCCGACGCGGGGCTCGAACTCACAGACTGCGAGATCGTGACCTGAGCCGAAGTCGGCTGCTTAACCGAATGAGCCACTGAGGCGCCCCTTAAAAATTTTTTTAATGTTTATTTTTGAGAGACAGAGAGACAGAGCATGAGCGGGGGAGGGGCAGAGAGAGAGAGACACACACACAGAATCCAAAGCAGGCTCCAGGCTCTGAGCTGTCAGCACAGAGCCTGATGTGGGGCTTGAACTCCCAAGCCGTGAGATCATGACTTGAGCCCAAGTGGATGCCCAACCGACTGAGCCACCCAGGTGCCCTGAGCCAGATATATTTTTAAGTGAATAGTTAAAAAATTTTTTTCTTTGAAGATAGTATACTGAATCTCCAGAATGAATATAATTTCTCTTGAGGGTCAAGATAACTACTATTACATAACATGGATATATTAATATTTTAAACATACTGAATATTACAATATGTAAAATAAAGACTATAAATGGCTTCTATTAGTTCACATCGGGTTTTCTACCACTTGAATTCAGGTCTGGTTACTTCTGGGGGCAAATGAATTATTTACCAAGTTTCCATTTTAGAGCTTTTTTGGATTTCAAAATTGAGAGAGTAAGTGCTGGTGGATTTGTATCGCCTGGGAGCACACTACATCAGTGGCTCACTCCTTAGTAGTTGACCAATGCTGGTTCTGCACTTGGAGCCATGGTAAGTGGGTTCACATTCCAGGACACACGGGCAGACTTTGGCAAGCCTTGGTGAGGCTTTCAGCCTGAGTTTTCTGAATGAACATTTTAAGGAGAAAGAATTTCCACTGTGTACCACGTTATGGTTCAGATGATTTTCTAGGGGGAGGTATTTTGTCATTCAAATCAATATGTGCTAGAAAAAAAAAAAAAAAAAAAAAAAACAAAACCTTCTCATCTCCCACTAGTTCCAGTGCATTAATTCCATCTGCCTCACGGCACAGCCTCTCAGATCTGTTATCTAGGGGGTCTGGAGTCCTGGCTTGGGGTGAAATTGTATCCTATAAAATGGAATTGAGTCAAGCTGTGATATATTTGAATCCTATTGAGAACTAGATTATATGGTCAATGGCAGCTCAGTAGCATGTTTTAATCACCAAGCGCTGTGGTGCTGACCTGACAGCACTTGTGGAAATCTCTGGCCCATGTCCCTGGGGAAAACGAGAGCTTCATTGTGCCCACAATTTTTTTCCTCATGAATAGGACATGTCATAGTGACCCATCAAATGGCACTTTATGAAATAATTGTAGGAGTAGTACCTACCTGTCATGAAATATTTGTACAAGTAAAGGATAGACAAACACTTCCATAAGTATACGGAGCTAAAAAGCAAAGGAAAAGCCCCTTAATGCCACTGTCCCATTCCATCCCTTCTATCCTCCTCAAGGAGGAGGGGTGATACCAGTGATAGCAATTTGGTGTGTGTCACGCGAGACCTCTCCTTTGTCACCACGTGTGTACACACACAAACACACATGATCGTACCTATAAACAGATGGGTCATACTCTTCAGATTGTTTTTAGCAATTCCTCAGAGACATCTCTTGGACACTACTATCCTTTTGATGTCTGCAGAGCATTCAGTGTCCTAGTGAAAAACCTGTAGGTAATTTGGGGGGTGTTATAAACTATGCTTTAATAACCTCCCTTGTTCATTTATTTTTGGGCATATATGTGTGTTTTTATGGACTAGATAGAAAAAGGTTCATGGTTTTTGGTTTATCTCTAAGGTCTCACTCTCAACAATTGCTTTTAGTCAGCCTAAATGTCAGCATTGTCCTCTGTCCTTCTGCTTATCTAGAAAGCCATCTGGGGCACTGGTCATCTTTGCTGGACACATGGTGTCTCTTGCAGTGAGGATGGGGGGCATACAAAGAGGAGAGTTGTTTATGTTTACAGCCTTTGATACTTTTGATTTTGTCTGCCAGCTACTAACTGAGTGTTGTGTTCTTTTATTCCCATATATAGGACAGGTCAGATAAAGTAAGAACTTGCCTTCAGTTATGTACATTGTTACAAGCTTTTTGGAGAGCTCTTGACAATATCTACTGAAATTTAAAATGTTCATGCCTTTTGATCCTGCAATTCTGCTGCTACACGGTACTATAGAAATAACCTTATTTTGAGACCTGAAAGATTTTGTTCAGATATGAATCTCAGAAACTTACAGGAAACTTATTATTTAAATAGTTCCTTCAATGGAGTGAATGTTTGTGTCCCCCCCCCAAATTTGTATGTTGAAATGCTACCCCCTAATGTATGGTATTAGAAGCTTTAAAAATCCCGTGATCTGACCCTATTTTCATAGTTTTTACTAAACAAGTCAGTTGGTAGACATACAGCCAAACTAAGAAACAGGTTGTACTTCTGAACAGGAAAAAATGGCTATTAACTTTTAAATGTAAATATGCAGTATTTTCCCATAGAATTGATGCTACTAAATATTATTTAAGACAGTGTAGTACTTGTTGAACACAGGTGCTATAGTGGAAACTACGGGTCCGGAGAGAAATGAGGTAGAGCGCTTGTCCTCAAGGAAATTACCAGTAAGTAGATCATATTTTGGCTATTTTTTAAAAACCCAGTAATGCTGGGACAGAAACAGGGTCAAAGGATGAAATTCCATGGAGAAAGCTTTGGGCACAATTTATTATATTATATTATTTTATTTTATTTTAATTTTATTATTATTACTTTTTAAATATAACTTATTGTCAAGTTGGCTAACATACAGTGTGTACAGTGTGCTCTTGGTTTTGGGGGTAGATTCCCGTGATTCATTGTTTACATAGAAGACACAGTGCTCATCCCAACAAGTGGGCACAATTTATAGATCACCTAAATGGATCCAAACTCTGTCCACCTTTGAGTATAAGTGAGGCCTTACTAAGATTATGGACCAAATTGTGATGACCCTTGATGCGCCCTTCGATAACTGTAGAACCATACCTCCCTTAATGTCTCTTCCAGTTTCCAGAGTAGGAACAACTTCACGAATGTTTTCCTAGTCTGGTAACCTGTCACGTCACTTGTCTCTGGCCCAGCTGCAGGTACCTGTGATAGCATGCTTCATTGGCAAAAGGTTCTTCTGCTGAGATTCTAGGGTTCCACAGAGGCACAGAGTCTGTGGCAGTGTCTGGGGAGGAACTGTGTTCTCCCAAGCCCTCTAAGCACTTTGTTCCCTCGACCCCACAGGTGCTCTGCTTGTGCCTCGAGTGTTCCAATGAGTGACTTTCATGAGAAATGTTCTTCAAATTCCCACTCTAAAATCTCCCTCATCATGTGGATCTAAACCAGTGCCTGTGTGTGTGTGTGGGGGGGGGGGGGGGGTTGGGAGGGAGGTGGGATGGGGTAATGGACTGAAATTGAACTGACTTTTCATGTCCCTGACAGTATTTCCCCATTTTTCCTCTCCAGTCCCTGGTAGTTACTACTACTCTCTCCTTTAGAGAAACACACATTGTCCACACACATTCCTTAGGCAAAGATGCACCCAAGGATGTAACAAGCCCACCAGCTCCCCCAAACTACCTGACCCTGACACGGACCATGTCTTGTTTGACTTTGTATCCCTAGTGTCTAGCCTAGTGCTTGCCACAAAAGTGGACCTTTAATCCTTGTGGAATTAATGAATCCACGTTGTTAAAGGGGGTAGATTTAAGTATAATCTATGGATATCAAACAGAGGTTTCTCCAACTTCATGGTCACACCCATGGGAGATGTTAGCATATGTTTGTTAACTTAATGAACAAATTGGTATCTTTCATGTTCCAGATTTAATGACCTCATGATTTGTGCTGCTCTGTTTTCTATATTCTTACCCTGTCACCTTTGTGACCAAAGAGATATATTTGTAAACCGTTTGGCCAGGATTAAAGGAATATATTTTCTGTGTCTGTAAAATGATTTAAAAGGATTAATAGTAAGCGTTTATTAAGAACAACATGTGCAATTCAAATGCAGAACAACTGTTCTAGGCACTGGGGACTTACCCATATTATGGAAAGCAGCAGGCACAAAGGAATGAAAGGAAACAGGGAACCTGGGTTGGGGGTGGGGGAGGAAAGGAAGGAAGAAATAGAGAGAGGGTGGGAGGCAAGGCAAATGATGACCACAGATTCCTATCAGAACTCCTGGTTATCTAGATTCCAAGTTCTAATACTGGCACCGAGGTGAGCATGTTCACTTTTATTTTTAAAATGGAGTTTTTGAGGAATAAGTAATAGATTCACATGGTTTGACAATTAGAAGGTCTCAAAAAAAAAAAAAAATCCACTCATTTTTTTCTAGTCACTTGGCTCTTGGATAGACATCTTATCTCTCCCAATGCAAATGTAGCTCAGATTGAAGTCAAAGAGGAGATATAGAGAAACTTACAAAATTGTTTCGTCCCTTAGGCAATGTCAGAGCTGACAGACTTGTTTAGGAAGAATTTGTGATCTTGGTCTCATTAGTTTTATGTTCTAACATACGGAGCTTATTAGCCTGGAGAGGAGCCCCTGATTGTTCACAAACCAGCAAAACCTCAGAAGTCTTGCCCTTTGTTTTAAAATATTTCAGGGGTGTCTGAGTGGCTCAGTCAGTTGAGTGTATGACTTTGGCTGAGGTCATGATCTCGCTGTTTGTGAGTTTGAGCCCTGCATCTGACTCTGCTGTCAGCTTCAGATCATCTGTCTCCCTCTCTTGCCCCTCCCCATCTCGCTCTCTCTGTCTCCCTCTGTCTCAAAAAAAAAAAAAAATTATATATATATAAAATATATATTTATATAAAATAAATATTTGTATAAAATAAATATCATTTACATAAAATAAAAAATACATATACATCTATATAAACATTAAAAAAACCCAAAATATTTCAGTAACATTTGAATCTGGTGTTGGGTTGCGAGGAGGCTGTGACCATGCTAGGGACTCCCCCATGATAGTCCAGAAGCAGAGCAGAACCAAAGGCTAAGAAGGAGAGGGGAGGCTCAAATGCCGGAAGACCAAACATAAGCAGTCTGTGCACAGGGCCCCAGGCAGGTAAGTGGACAAGTGTGCAGGGCCAGAAGGTCAGAGGTAAAGGGTCAGAGGTCAGTGAGGAAAATACACCTCCAACATTTAACTTAACCAGTGAAAGAGCTAAGACAGCTGAAGTCACTGCTAACCCGGCAGCAGAGCTGGGTGTTTTGGTGTGACCAAAAAAATCTTTCGAGCTTCAATAAACATTTTAGCGAACTTTATGTAGTAATGTAGAAAAATGATCAGTTTAAAGGATTGCCACTAATTAGAAGGATTGACAGAAAAGTGACAGTCATGATTTTCTTCTAGTGAATACTTTGTTTTCTTCTTTCTGTGTGACATATTTTATTTTATTATTTAAGAAACAATTTTTTTAAGTTTATTTCTTTTGAGGGAGAGAGCAAGCAAGGGAGGGGCAGAGAGAGAAGGAGACAGAGACTTCCAAGGAGGCTCCACACTGTCAGTGCAGAGCCGGACGTGGGGCCCAATCTTTTGAACGGGTGAGATCGTGACCTGAGCTGAAATCGAGTCGGATGCTCAACCGACTGTGCCACCCAGGCACCCCCATGTGACATAATTTAGTAATTGTTGTTTGCCCTGCCTTATTTTCCGAAATACAAATTTATTTAGATATATAGCAATAGCCTGATTACATTTTAACTTTCAGTTAAATGTTTAAAATTTTACAGTGCAATTCAATTTTAAAAACCCCTGTTTTTGCCGTCACGTAGCTTACAGGATGATCCTGTACCTTCTCTTCCTGGCAATTACTGCATCTGTGAGTAGCTAATGTTTGGTTTCATTTGTGTTTCCCTCACTTATCTTGTAAGCATCCTCAGGACAGAGCCATATCGGTGTTGCTCATTCAGAAACAATTTCTAGCACCTTGCACGATGTCTGGCACACAATATGCATATAGTGTTTGCCAAATGATGAAGAGAAAGAGATCAGCTGCGGTGAAGTGGTTAAACCATGGAGGAACCCCTCATTAGAGGAGGTCCTGGTGTTACTGGCATACAGAACAGAGGCTGTTGACCCTGGCGGGAAGGCGGTCAGGGGAAACTTCTGAGAGGGCTGATGTCTGACTGAACCTTCGCCAGGTGGGGAAAAGCATGCCAGCGTGCAAAGGGAAGAATGGGAATATTGGGAATGCCACTCCTTTGACACTGGCTACAAGAGTGAGGCTCTGTGGTGAGAGGAGAGAGACAGCGGATGCAGTGAGCCACACTGTGGTGTAAAGGGACCCGTGTGTCAAGAAGCGTGGCATTCGCTGAGAGATGGTGGGGAGCCTGGAGGGCGCGGTGGCCAGGAAGGTCAGACTGAGGAGAGGGAGAGACTTTAGGGAGGCTGCTTAGAAGACCAGAGCCATACCAGACACCCTTTTTAACTTCTTCTAAGTCTCTCCCTGTCACCTCCTCACCTCTCACCGACGCTTCTCAGAGGAGCGCTCTGTCCCCACAATCTCTTTCCTCCGTCCATTCCCTCCTTCACCTGCTGCAAGGGGCTTCCCCTCCTCCCATTCCAGACCTGTAGCCCCTCTCTCCCCATGCCCCCTCCCCTTACACTGCTGTCACCACACTCACCAGTGACCTCCTTATCCAGCTGTAGTCTCAATCTTTGTTTTGTGGGACTTCTTGACCACCATATTCCCCTTAAAGTATCTTTTCTTTTTTAAAGCTTATTTATTTATTTTGAAAGAGAGAGAGAGAGACAGAGAGACAGAGAGACAGAGATAGACAGAGACAGAGAGAGCCAGCGGGAGGAGCAGAGAGAGAGGGAGAGAGAGAGAGAATCCCAGGCAGGCTCCACACTGCGAACACAGAGCTCGATGTGGGGCTTGATCTCACAAACCGTGAGATCATGACCTGGGCCGAAATCAAGAGTTACATGCTTAACCGACTGAGCCCCCAGGTGCCCCCAAGTATCTTTTGAATCATACTTCATTTATGATCCAAACCCAGAAAGCGTAAAAGGGAGTGAGTAGGGTCTTTCCCATCCTTGTCTCTCATTTCTCCACCGGCAGCCACTGCTCTTAGTTTCTTATGTATCTTTCCAGACATTCTTTATGCATATTTCAGCAAATCCAAATTTATTTGTATTTAGTGACAAATAGGAATGTGGGTTCTTATTTTTTCCCCTTCCTTACACAAAGAGTAGAATATTACACATCCTCTTCATCTCTGTGCTTTTTTCATTTAACAAACGAAAACAATACACATGCATGGATGCTGGGCATCTGATGCTTACCTTGTTCCAACTACTCATTACTTCCCAAACTTGCTTCTCCTACAGTCTTTCATACACTTGGTGTTGGTGGCGGTAGGGAGGGGTTAGGGCCATTCGCCGAGTCACTGAAGCCGGAAACCTGAGAGTCCTCTCTGACCACTCCTTCAGTGTCATCCAGAATATCCACAGGCCCATCATTTCCTTTTCTTCATTCCTACCACCACTGCCTGGATTGAAGAACTTTGTCCTTCAGGAACCCTTTGCCAAGATACTCATTATGATTCACCCAGTTGTTCATTGCCATAGCATTCTGTATATACCCACAACACTGAACATGTCATGATGACAGATTTGTCTGTTCTCTCACTAGACTGTGGGCCCTTGAGGGCAGAGATGTATTTATCTCACGTTTTACCCATAGAGACATAACGGATGCTAAATGAAAATATGAAAGAACAGATGTCCAGAAAAAAGTTCACTTGGTAAACTGTTTAGTGACTCTTTGTATGTTTTGGAGCAGTGAGGGAGATGGATGTATCTCAGAGGATCCCCGGTTTTGGGGCTGGACGCAATGAACAGAGATCCAGGTTCCAGGCAGAAGAACAGGTTTTCATTCTTCAGACCTGGTAATTTGTGGGTTATACATTCTGTAGTTACATATATGATTTGGTGGGTCATATACTTGTGTATGTATCAGTCACAGCTTAGAATAGTCTAGAGAAGTAAGTTCAGAGAGTTATAAACACAGAGTGGTTGAAGTCAGGGTGTGATGAGATCACCTAAAGGTAATCTATAGTAAGAAGATGGATAAAGAGAGAATCCCGGAAGGCACGATCATTACTTGGTGAGTGAGAAAGGGGAGAAGAACAAGCAGTAAGTGAAAGATAAAAGGTAGGAGTGTTGTCGTGGAATCCCAAGGAGGGAAGGGTTTCAAGCAGATGGCGTAGGGGCTGACAGTGTCACTTGCTGCCAAAATGTTCAGCCAGATGAGGACAGAGAAGTAACCATTGAATGTGACAACTCTGAGCTCTTTGGTGATGATAGCAAGGCCAATTTTAGTGCAGGGGGGTGACTCTCAGGGTGAGAAAAGGAAGGCCAGGGATTGGGAGGACGCTTCCTTGTAGGGAGAAGAGGTGCATGTATGTAGAGTAAATGTAGGGTTTTGTTTTTAAGCTTTCTTTTTTTTTAATTATAGGCAGAATATATATTCATTGCTGAATATTGGAGCGGTATGGGAGGGTAATAAAAAGCCAAAAAGATCTATAATCCTACCACTCTAAACACTGCTGCTCTTTAAAACAATTTTTTGGGAGGGCATGTGGGTGGCTCAGTAGGTGAAGCGTCCGACTTCGGCTCAGGTCATGATCTCACAGCTTGTGAGTTCCAGCCTTGTGTCAGGCTCTGTGCTGACAGCTCAGAGCCTGGAGCCTGCTTCGGATTCTGTGCCCCCGTCTCTCTCTGCCCTTCCCCTGCTCACACTCTGTCTCTCTCTTTCTCTGTGTCTTAAAAATAAATAAGCATTAAAAAATTTTTTAGAAATATTTTTTAAGTTTATTTATCCATTTTGAGAGAGAGACAGAGGGTGGGGCAGAGAGGGGGAGAGAGAGAATCCCAAGCGGCTGTGCACTATCAGTGTGGACCCCGATGTGGGACTCCTTGGGGGGGCTCCGTGTGGGGTTTGAACCCACCCATGAACCATGGGCTCATGACCTGAGTCAAAATCAAGAGTTGGAGACTCAGCTGAGTGGGCCACCCAGGCACCCCAACACTGATGCTTTTTTTAACCATTTCCTTCCAGTCTTTTCCATGCATTTTAACCAAGCTGGGAAGAGGCCAAATTAGTGATTACAGGTTCTGTTTTGCACATACAGAGGACTGGCGTTAGCATCTGTCCTTGCATTAATTACCAGGGTGGATTTGGCAAGTCTAATTGGCTAGACCGTTTTCCTCCCTCACTGCACCCTGGGTATTTCTCCATATGGAGTTATTTAATTAGACAGAGATAAAACTTCTCATTCATTCATTCAACAAATATTTGTTAGCTGTCTACCATGTGCACTGCGTTAGTTGCTGAGGGATGGAGCAGTGAAGCAGACAGACACTTATCTCATGATGCTTGAATAGTGTCACTTGCAGAGGACCTCTACTTCACCCTGTGGCATACCCCTATTGCACTCACCTGCTAGATCTTACAGACAGGCTTTCGATTTCTTTTGTATAACTTTTCCACTTGATATTTCCTCTAACATTAAAAAGTCTTTAGAAAGCTTCCTCTTAATGTTAAATATTTAGCTTTTCTTTTCATATTTCTCCTTATAATGACACCTCCAGAAGTGTATTTGAAGTTAAGCTTGGTCCATAATTTGTACCATTTTTCAAGAATTAATTTTTGGAAGAGGAATTTGTCGAGTCAGAAGACCTGAACTTTTTATGGTATTTAGATACTTATTGTGAGATTGCTTTCCAGAGAGGTTTCCACTAATTTAAACTTTTTTTTAATTATTTTTTTTATGTTTATTCATTTTTCAGAGACAAACAGAGAGAGACAGAGTGTGAGTGGGGGAGGCACAGAGAGAAGAGGAGACAGAATCTGAAGCAGGCTTCAGGCTCTGAGCTCCCAGCACAGATCCTGTCGCCAGGCTCCAACTCATGAACCGCAAGAATCATGACCTGAGTTGGGTGGGACGCTCAACCGACTGAATCACCCAGGCGCCCCTCCACTAATTTAAACTCTTAACAGTGGAAGACAAAGTTACCTTTTTCACCTGAGAGAGGGTTCATTTGTTTATATGCTAAGTTGACTCAGCCAGTATAAAGGGAAAGGTTGAAGATAAAGAAGAATGAACAAGTTTCCTGAGAAGTAGTGTTGATGAGATCTGGAGAAGGTGCTAGAAGGTACTCTTGAAGAAGAAAGCTCTCCTGTTGAGACAGGAGTTAAGAAGGGTGTTTGTATATGTGTTGTGTTGAGAAATGGGGAGCTGAGGGAGTTTCTATTAGATGGACTCCATTTTCTTTGTACGGTAGGAGGCAAGTGCATCTGTACAGAAAGGAGTAGGGATAAGAAGAATTAGGCTGATAGCTGTGGAGAATGAAGATGGCTTGGAAGGGCTATGTAGAAAATGGGACACCCCTAAATGGTGCAGTTGCCCAGATTATGTTGCATTTTGTTTATAATTGTAAGTGAAGGCTTGATGCTAGGACTTTGTTTACAGGGTATAGTGAAATTGAGAATTGGTGATTATTTGATTAATTTGATGAATGTTCCAAATTAGGAATACCAGGTCAGGGTATGTTTCCGACCTAAATTATACAACGCAGTTGTCTGCGATGATCAAATTAACCAGCTGATTGCCAAATCTCTATTTCTCTCTGTCCCCTGTGGACATAGCCTAAAGGACTAATAAGTGAACTGGACTCTGCCCCAATCTATTTTGGGATAATTGATGTCTTTGTACTTGCATCCCAGCAGCTTGGTATTAAACACTGAAGCTTTGTGGAGAATGTCAGTAGGCGATTTACTACCTCAAAAAGCAGCCTTTCTCTTAAAAAGCTTATCAATCAGAACTTTGGAGAGAATTTTCCAAGCTCCCTAAGGAAAATCATATTTTACTGCTATGGAAAAATATTTGATTCCATGTGTTTTGCTTCATAAAATGAATTTGTTTCAGATTCCGAATGCTTATTTGTGATTTTTATTTCTGCCTTCGTGAATCACTTCAAACCAATTTCAGTTTTACATTTAAGTGGTTTTTGTTCTTAAAAATATTTATGTTCACCGAAAGTTGCATTTGTTTTTTTTTCACTCACTGAAAAGTATCAGTGATTTTAACCTCTTGATAAGGAAAATCAATTGCGGTGAAGAAACATTTCATTTCTTACTGTTTAAATATTTCTTTCCTAAATTTGGTGGTTGATGTAATGCAGGTTATGAAATGCATGGAGCCGGTTACTAAGGTAATTTGGGCTCCGAAATCCATTTTGTGAAATAGCAATGTAATCTGAATATTTTAGGAATTGACCTCAGTGTTCAAATTTCCTTTGTATGTCCTTAAACGATGCTGCGACAAGTCATTCACTTATGCATGAAAACAAAAGTAACTGTAGTTGCTCCAACTTGGACTCTTCCCTCAGAGGCTCAGCCCACCTCCCCTTCTCCCATGTATTCATCACCCCACAGGGCTGTTGTGGTGTGAGGTGCTGGACGAATAGGCCTGGTGTAACGTTTCCCTCCTCTCAAAGATCTCCCAACCTGTTGAGGTTTGCTAGCAGACCAAACTTGAACAAAGAATAATTCTGTTTCAGTGTGAATATTGGGCTGATTAAAATGTGGCCATTTATGCTGAGAACAGCTTTTGGCATTTTAGAGATTTGTTATGTGCTCTTACCAATTGTAAAATGGATAAGTAAGCAAAAGTTCAAGATGGTAGAATTGTATCCTTTTGTATCTGGATTTTTCTCTGTTCCTGGTCTAGGTCTCAGGATTGACAAGAATGACAAGTTGGGCTTGGCCTACTTATTTCTACAGTAGCTTGAAGGAAATGTGTGTAACTGAAGATACCTGGGAACACCTAGGCTTCCTCAGTTTTGACCTCCCACCTAGAGGGGGGAAGCCTCCAGGTCTGAGGAGCCCAGAACCCACTTCTTCATTTGTTTTGTTTTTTGAGAAAGTAGTAGAAGTGTATAGTTTTTATAGAAAATCCATGATTTCTTTTTCTTTTTTTTTTTTAATTAATTTATTTATTTTGAGAGAAAGAGAGCATGCAGGGGAGGGGCAGAGAGAGACAGAGAGAGTGAGAATTCCAAGCAAGTTCCACACTGTCAGCACAGAGCCTGATGTGGGGCTCGAACTCATGAGTTGAGAGATCATGACCTGAGCCGAAACCAAGAGCTGGACGCTTAACCAACTGAGCCACCCAGGCTCTCTGGAAATCTATGATTTCTAAATATTGGTATCTCATATATACATGTTGGCCTGTTGTACCTGGGCCAGTTCAGCCTCAGGGTGTTGGTCTGTGACCTCTGAGTTTCCAAGCTCTCATTTTCTAGGTAAAAAGCTAGACTTCACTAGTCTCCTTAGAGGTCAATGCTTATGAAACACAAGGTGGAACATGCTCCTTTTCATTACTTAATCTGCTCAGCCTTTTTATGTTTTGAAGAATAAGAAGGGACCTGTACTTAAATAAAAAGGAAGGCATGACTAAAATGCATTACACTGTTTTATTTCAATTTTTTGGTTAAATTAAACTGAAAGAAAGCATTTACTACATAGTCCATGGCATTTTTTTTAATGAACATATATTGTGATTTTTAAAAATTTTTTATTTTTTTAATATAATTTATTGTCAAGTTAGCTAATATACAGTGTATACCGTGTGCTCTTGGTTTCGGGAATAGATTCTTATGATTCATTGCTTAACTACAACACCCAGTGCTTACCCCAACAAGTGCCCTCTCAATGTCCATCACCCATTTCCCCCTGCCCCCCATAAATCCTCAGTTTGTTCTCTGTATTTAAGAGTCTTTGATGGGTTTGCCTCCTTCTCTGTTTGAAACTACTTTTTTTTCCCCTTCTCTTGCCCCATGGTCTCCTGTTTCTCAAGTTTCTCAAGTTCCACATATGAGTAAAAACATATGATATCTGTCTTTCCCTGACTAATTTCACTTAACATAATACCCTTCAGTTCCATCCACATTGTTGCAAATGGCAGGATTTCATTCTTTCTTACTGCCAAGTAGTATTCCATTGCATATTTAAACCACATCTTCTTTATCCATTCATCAGTTGATGGACATTTGGGTTCTTTCCATGATTTGGCTATTGTTGAAAGCACTGCTATAAACATTGGGGTACAAGTGCCCCTATGAATCAGCATTCCTGTGTCCTTTGGATAAATTCCTAGTAGTGCTATTGCTGGGTCGTAAGGTAGTTCTATTTTTAATTTTTTGAGGAAACTCCACACTGTTTTCCAGAGCAGCTGCACCAGTTTGCATTCTCACCAACAGTGAAAAAGGGTTTCCATTTCTCCACGTCTTCACCAACATCTGTTGTTTCTTAAGTTGTTAATTTTAGCCACTCTGATTGGTGTGAGGTGATATCTCATTGTGGTTTTGATTTGTATTTCCCTGATGATGAGTGATGTGGAGCATCTTTTCATGTGTCTGTTGGCCATCTGGATGTCTTCTTAGGAAAAGTGCCTATTCATGTCCTCTGCCCATTTCTTCACTGGATTATTTGATTTTTGGGTGTTGAGTTTGGTAAGTTCTTTATAGATTTTGGATTCTAACCCTTTATCTGATATGTCACTTGCAAATATCTTTTCCCATTCTGTTGGTTGCCTTTTAGTTTTGTTGATTGTTTCCTTTGCAGTGCAGAAGATTTTTATCTTAATGAGGTCCCAATGGTTCATTTTTGCTTTTATTCCCTTGCCTTCAGAGACATGCCGAGTAAGAAGTTTCTGCAGCTGAGGTCAAAGAGGTTGTTGCCTGTTTTCTCCTCTAGAGTTTTGATGGTTTCCTGTCTCACATTTAGGTTTTTCATTCATTTTGAGTTTATTTTTGTGTATGGTGTAAGAAAGTGGTCCAGTTTCATTCTTCTGTATGTTGCTGTCCAGTTTTCCTAGTACCATTGGCTAAAGAGACTGTCTTTTTTTCCACTGGATACTCTTTCCTGCTTGGTCAAACATTAGTTGGCCATACATTTGTGGGTCCAATTCTGGATTCTCTGTTCTATTCCATTGGTCTATGTGTCTGATTTTGTGCCAATACTGTCTTGATGAGTATAGATTTATAGTAGAGGCTAACCTCCAAGATTGTGATGCTTCCCACTTTGGTTTTCTTTTTCAACATTACTTTGGCTATTTGGGGTCTTTTGTGGTTCCATATAAATTTTAAGATTGTTTGTTCTGGATTTGAGAATAATGCCAGCGCAATTTTGATTGGGATTGCATTGACTGTGTAGATTGCTTTGGGTAGTATTGAAATTTTAACAATATTTTCTCTTCCAATCCATGAGCATGGAATATTTTTCCATTTCTTTGTAACTTCTTCAATTTCTTTCATAAGTTTTCTTTAGTTCTCAGCATACAGATCTTTTACATCTTTGCTTAGGTTTATTCCTAGGTGTTTTATGGCTCTCAGTGCAATTATAAATGGGATCGATTTCTTCATTTCTCTCTCTCTCTCTTTTTTTTTTTTTTTGCTTTATTATTGGTGTATAGAAATGCAACTGATTTCTGTACATTGATTTTGTATCCTGCGACTTTGCTGAATATCTGTATCAGTTCTAGCAGCTTTTTGGTGGTATCTTTTGGGTTTCCTATGTGGAGTATCATGTCATCTGCAAAAACTGAAAGTTTGACTTCTTCTTTGCCAATTTGGATGCCTTTGATTTCAATATATTGCGATTTTTATTTGTTACTTTGCCTGTTGTTTTAGTTAAAAAGAAAGGAAATAACTTATTTTGGGTAGTATCTATTTAAGGAATAGTTAACTAAGTAATGGTGAAACTTTACAAAGTGGGGCCTTCATTTATCCTGGGAGGTATAACACTTGCCATAGGAGGGAACGGCTCTTTGATTTAGGTGTTGAGTAAAACGACCCTAACAGTAGGATCAAATCATATTGGAATGGACTTTAATGTCACTGTCCTCTCTGAACCATTCAGTTCCATAACTGATCCTGTTAAGATCATAGCCTGTATTTGCTTCAGGTGGTGAATACCTTAGAATGCTTGTTTCTCTCTGTTTGTGAAGTCGTATAAAGCAGTTGAAGTTCATGCAACAAACTTCCACTTATATTAGAATGATGCAAGATTAGATGTGCTGGTGAATGAAATCTGCTTTACTGACTTTGATTTATTTATGACATAAACATTTATTGAGAACCTACTATTGTATTGAGATTCAAGATCACCAAAATAGCTGATAGTTGTGCAATTTATAGCACATATATGATAATTAAAATTATATTTTCTCTCCTCTGCTCTCTTGCTGATAGCAAACTATGTGTCTCAGGTGCATGATTTGGGAATAAGAGAGATAGGAAAAGCGCTTTGTGGGAAGCTCTTCTTTCCTTGTCTAAGCCTGCTGAAGTCTCTTAAATAGTCTTCCACTGCCAGTTGGAGACTCATTTATAGGCTTGCAAGGGTGTCCTGAGAAAGTCTTCATGACAAGTTTGAGGAGCATCACTGCAAGGTGTCAGATGAGCTCATTCTGGGTGCAGAAATTTATATAACATTAATATCAGCGAAAAGAAAACCAGTGAATACATTATTATCATTAAGGTTAAAAAATCTAAATGTTTTGTTAATTGAATTCAGAGTATTTGCCTAGAGTGCTATGTGCTTTTTGATTTTCCAGTTCACACTTCAGTGGTGAATACAGAAGACAAAATTAGTACAGATCAAGTAACATGGAAAAGAAAAAAGAGACAACACTAGATACAGAAGCAGACAACAGGAGGAGAAAACTCAGGCCTTGGCAAAAGCCACATTACCGAACAGTAAGTCTTGCCCATGACACTCTGTGTTACAATAGTGAACTCTTACATGGCATGTAATAGATTCCAGGCAGTTCTACAACTTTATATTTGTCATGGGTGGATGCATAAAGAAAGGTACACAGGTAGATAGATAGATGAGAATTTAAGTTAGTTTTACAAGGGTTTTTTTCATTTTTTCCCAATAAAGTCCATTTAGAGATGAGTAAAGACCTCACTCAGGTGTCATTGAGAAATCTCAGTTCTCAAGCATCTGTGGACATTCAGTCACTAAGCATGTGCCTAGAAGGAGTTAAGCAGTTAACCATCTTTCAGGATTGAACTGCCAAATTTCACCTGATTCAAATCCATTGGCCATTAAAACTGTTCAGAAATGATTAATCTTTGCTCTACTGTAAAACACATGAATGTCTTGCATTGTCAAGGGCTGTCAATATGAATGGAAATCATCATAGTGCTGTACTATAACAAATAGTCATTTGAGTTTTTAGACATTTGATATCAGGGAAATGGTTTTTCAGCGTCCATAATTGGTTATGCAAGATGTGTGTGTATGTGTATGTGTGTCTCTGTATATGTACGTGTATACATTAACATGTATACCCATGCATATGCCCATGTGTGCATGTTTACATGTAGCTGATGACTTGACCAAAGAGATAAAGATGAGAAAACTGTTGTAGGGTCTTAAAATCATTCAAAACTTACTGTTGCCTTGTAGACAGAGCACTGACAAGAAAGCTGGAATTTCTTATGCCTAAGGTACCTAAAACAGGAAGAGGGAGGCAGCCTACATGTGAGGATCAAAAGGTTCTAGGTGGGGTGGAAGGAGAATGCAGAGACCCAAAGCTAAGCAAGGTGTGACACATTAGGTATAACAGTGAATGATGAGGGGAGAGTAGCAGGGCTTGCCAAAGGCTGTGAAAGGTGGGAGAATGACATTGGGCAAAGAGGGAAATAGAGGCGATTGACCAGCATGACCTTCTCGTACATGAGATTTGTTTTGTGTTCCTGGCTCTTTTCTCATTGTTTTCTTGGTCCTGTTAGGGCTTGACTTGGTAGATACTGGCCCCAGGTGATTCTGAGAACTCTGATGTACATATTTTAAAACGAAACATTATGAGGGAGATAACTTTATTAAGTAGACATTAACTACACATTGAATTGGGTTTTTGGACCATATTTTGACGTGTAGTCCCCTTTTCCCTCTTTTCCTCTTTGTGCTCACACGAGATTACACAGTTACAGACTGTATTTTTTTTTTAAAAAGAGCTTTAAATAAATTCTTCCAGATGCTAAAGCCTCTATGCTTCAAAAAAAAAAAAAAATACAAGTATACCAGGAAAATTCATACATCAATTCATTGATTCAATAAATATTTTCTTAGACTTTGCGCTAAGCCCGAGGGACATGGCTGTGAAGAAGTCAAGGGGCCTGTCCTCCTAGGGTTTACAATCCGGTGGGGGAGGGTGAACTTTCTATTTCTATTCTTTCCCAGGTCCTATCACACACACTATTTGAATCAGTCTTGCCTGTTTCAGAATCACACATCCAGTATGGGAAATTCAGAAATTCATTTGGGAGTAGCAGTATTAGAATTTGAATTTGTCTCTGCATCCAGTCAATCATAGAATTCCCAAATGTAGTGTCTCTTTTTGACAATGGGATAGGCTTTCAGGACCAGATGTCAGTGTTGATAAGCCTATAGGCAGTGACTCAAGACAGTGTCCTTCATATTTATGGGGGAACATAAATGTTACTTTATTCCCCCATCTTTAACGCACTCGACTGAATGAGGGGATACTTTAATAGCTAAAACAAAATTGTTTCCATACTTACCTCAGCTCTCATAAAAAGTTTGGGTCATTTTTATCAAACAACTATATTTCTTAATAATGTAAGTGAAGTATAGAAAATTTAGTTTTGAAGCAGGATAAGAAAGAAATATAATGCAGTTTTTGAAATCAAAGGAGATTTTCTTGTTTCTGTCTCTCGACCACGGCTCTCAACCCAAGTGTCTTGAAGGAACACATGATCAGCTTTTCCATCTCCACTTAGTTCAAAATCTACATGTAATTATTAATAATGATTTATAATTCTAAAGAAAATTTTTCTGATAGTTCAAGGTACTTTTAAAAGACAGGCAACTTGGGGCGCCTGGGTGGCTCAGTCGGTTGAGCGTCCGACTTCGCTCAGGTCACGATCTCACGGTCCGTGAGTTCGAGCCCCGCATCAGGCTCTGTGCCAACAGCTCAGAGCCTGGAGCCTGCTTTAGATTCTGTGTCTCCCTCTCTCTCTGGCCCTCCCCCCATTCATGCTCTGTCTCTCTCTGTCTCAAAAATAAATAAATGTTAAAAGATAGGCCACTTTCCAAAACCTGGGGAACCCCTTACTAGAAAGGATTATAGTTTAAGAGACCAACCTGCCTTACCCTAGTTGATCCATGTTTTCTCTTTATGTCCATGCCTGATTTTTAAGGCACAATAGATCTTCAAGGTCTCTAAACATAGCATACATTTATGATGATTCCTTCATCATAATTTGGGCCATATGACCCTTCTGCACCCATTGAGCTAATAGTTAACTGATCATTTGGCTTAAGAATTTCATTTAAAATAGTTCTGGGGTGCCTGAGTGGCTCTGGTTAAGTGTTAAGTGTTCGACTCTTGGTTTTGGCTCAGGTCATGAGCCCACAGTTTTGTGGGTTGTAGCCCCACATTGGACTGTGCACTGACAGTGTGGAGCCTGCTTGACAGTCTCTCTCTCTCTCTCTCTCTCTCTCTCTCTCTCTCTCTCCCTCTCCCTCTCTCTGCCCCTTCCCCACTCTCTCTGTCTCTGTCTCTCTCAAAATAAATAAATAAACTTAAAAAATTTTTAAATAGTTCTGAAGATAAAAAGGAATAGAAGGAGATGTTACTTGGCTCTTTTTGTCAGATATCCTCCATTTATTTTAGAAGTGCTTTTTCAAGGAATGGCACCAGGAGTGTGGCCACGAAAATGTATACAAGCATTGGCTGGTGGAACACTGAGGGGTTGAGGGAGGCAGGCTCTGACTCTGTGTCCTGCTTCTGCTACAACCTGGTCAGGCAGCCTTGGGCATACTTAACATCCCTCTTTCCTAGCAACTCATTTTGTTTGTCTTGACAATGTAGGCTTATGAAATGGGGTCCATCTATGGCTGTTAGTGTTTCAAGGATTGGGTTTTGGGTGATAGGTGTCTGTAAATCCCCATAAATAGCATGCATAATTCTGTTTTTGGACATTATTTTCTTCCCACTGGGTCCATAACTTTATTCAGAGTCTCCAAAGGCTCTGAGATCCTTAAAAGAACATTTAGAGGATCACTCAAATCTTTTCAGTAGGAACATTCTATGGCCATTGGCTGTCTGTGTTCATGTGTGTGCACGTTTTCTTCTAGACTATAAAAATGTGTTTGGCCTATTTGAAGGAAAGATTCTGATGAGGATATGGCTTAGAAATCCTTCTAGAAGGCCAAAAGCTCTGATGCTGAGACATGGCTGGAAATCCCAGTTCCATCATACATAGCATATATAGGTATATATATATACACGTGTATAGGTATATAAATATATATATACGTGTATATACTCATATATGTAAAAGTACTATATACATTGCATTAAAGGCAGCTCCAAGTTTTCCAAAGTGGTTGCTTAGAATGTCAGTGTCAGACCTGACAAAGCTTTAACAACTTCAGCCTCAGTATTAAGCCAGTATGTATTTAAAAATCTTTCCTAATAACAATTTGTTTTAGATATGTCTCTTATAAGTAGCATATAGCTGTTTTTCCCCCCAACTTGACAACCTCTGTGTTTTAACTGATTAATTTAATTACATTTGTAACTTATTTAATTATATTTATTTATTTAATTGCATTAAATGCATTTATTTAATTGCATTTATTTAAATTTATTTTTATTACTTGTATATCCTGTTTACTATGCTTTGTATGCTTTTTTCTAATTTCTTATTTCTTGCCCTCCTTTGAGTCGACTACATTTTTAAAATTCTTCTTACCTGGGTTAAAAGTTTTAGAATCTATTTCTAGAGTTTTAGTCACTACTCCTAAAATTTTAACACCCAATTTATATGCTTTTAGTTTACCTTTGGCATTCTACTTCTTCCATTTGTATTTCTTTTTATTTCAGTAGTTCTTTCAGATTTCTTTAGCATTTTTTGAGTGATGATTTTTGCATATTATGACCTCTTTAATCCTTATTTGTCTTTCACTTTTGAATGACAGTTTTGTTGGTTATAGAATTCTAGGTTGACAGAATTTTCTTTCAACACTTTGAAGATACTATTCAATGATTTTCTTTTGCTACTGATGAGCAGTCCATATAGTGCTAAGTAGCTAAGATGTCTATTTTCCCTGATTGCTTTTGATATTTGATCTTTTCCATCGCTTCTCGGCCTTTTGGCTAAGATCAAGTGATCTTTTCCTTTGACACTCTACAGTTGCACTCTGAAATGTTCTGGGTGCAAATTTGATTACATGTATATTGATATTGATATTTATTTATTTTTAATTAATTTACTTAGTTTTAAGTAGACTCCATGCCCAACATGGAGCTTGAACTCACGACCCCCATATTAAGAGTTGCATGCTCTACTGATTAAGCCAGTCAGATGCCCCTATGTATTTATATTTTCAGTAAAGTGCTATGCTGTATTAACTGTCTTGACATCTCCCCCAAACAATAAGTATTGATACAGAATATCTTCCCATGTCTATAAATATTTGACTACTCTGTCAATTTCAATTATTGCATTTCTGGGGCCCGTGGGTGACTTGGTCAGCTAAGCATCCGACTTTGACTCAGATCATGATCTCACAGTTCATGAGTTTGAGCCCCACATCAGGCTTTGCACTGTCAGTGCAGAACCTGTTTGGGATTCTCTTTCTTTGCTCCTTTCCCACTTGTGCTCTCTCTCTCTCTCAGAATAAAGAAATAAACTTAGAAAAAAGTTAAATCATTGCA